GGCCCGTAGTGCACTATAGGAATGGTGTATCATTTGGGATGCAGCCTTAGTATTTGGTTCTCCATTTTCCACGCTGGTAAGGGAGTGTGTGGTACAATACATCACACCAATAAGAGAGGGACCAGCTGAAGAGAGAGGAGGAGAGGAGTGTAGGAGTGCTGACACCATTTAATTAGGGCTGACCCCAATTAGTCGACTATTCGATTATTTGGTCAATAGGCTATTGGTCGACCAAGCTTTTTTTTTTTTTTTGCAGTAGCAAATATATATATATATATATATATATATATTTTAATGGCACACGAGACACCTGTCTGATTCATGGCCATCTCACTGAACTAATCGATTGCGGAGGCTGAGGCTAATCGATTGCGGAGGCCGCGGGGATGGCACAGTCCAAGAAGAAGGGGAGTGTGGCTAAAATGCACAATCCACGTCTCTCTCCAATGCGCTCTCTCCCGCCAATTTCATAACTTCATTATGTGAATTGTTTGCCTTGATTGTTAGTGTCTATCAATTCCCCATTACACATATCACCATTTACCATTAATTCCTATAATTTCTAATCTAAAAAGTTTTTGGGTTATTGTAATTTCTGTTAATGCATTCAATATATTATTATTCCAGTCTTTTACAGTTCTCATTGTCGGAGTGGACACATTGTTTTCAGAGCGGACAACCTACGCAACACTTGTGAGAAACAAGTTTTGGTTTATTTCATTCCATTTAAGAGTTTTGTCAATTCAATTTAGTAGTTGTCTTTTGTTTGGAGCGCTCCTGTCAATGTTGAGTAAGGACGCACACCTGATTATGCATAGAAGTAGGCCTATAGGCTACCTGGCCCACGCGCAAATGAAAGCATATAAATGTGCCCATTTGGGCATCTGATAGTCCACGTCACTGCCAACATAGCCTCTCACACACCAACTCCTTAACATACAAACCAAACACATTCAAACAGACACTAATGAGCTGTGGAGCTTCTCAAAGGAATGTTTTCTTCACCTCAAACAGCAAGCAAACAAAGTCTGTTTTTACATCCATTGAGAATGACAGTAGTTCCTCAATGTATTTGAAAAATCTTTCCAGCTCTCTCCCATTCGATAACCACTCAGCGTGAAAGGGACAAATGACATGATCTGATCCAGTGGAAACGTCATAACATAAGTCTACCTGATGAGCTCTTATCCCTTGCACAAAATAGCCTACAGTTATGTCTGTCCCGAGCTCACTGGCTCAGGAAACTGATGGCCGAGAATATTTGATATAATGTTGCAAGTTTGCTAGCATGAGCTTCAGGCTGGACCAAGTTGATAGTTGATACAATGTTTCAAGTTCGTTGCAGACAGTCCATGCGTAGCCAATGTGATTTATAAGATATTGATTTTTAAATCAGGATATTTGCTACCTGCAGGCTGCAATGTTTTTTATGTGTTAGCTTTATGTAGGCTATTTTTACATAGTTGGCAATGGTAATAGAAGTAACTTTTTAGGTTTGTATCATTTTCATTAAGATTTGGATATAATTTCGATTAACCACATGACAATGATTTTGAGATACGAAGACGTTATTATAAATGAAATTAAACTGTTCCACGAAAATGTGCATATGAAAACCATAACTGGAACATGCAGATCGGTAGACATTTTAAGATAAATTGGCATTCCACATGAGAAAGGTTGCTGACTCCTCGTGTAGCCTATTACCGGCAACTTCAGGTGAGTAACGAGAGAATCTGCGAAAGCCAGCAGGAGCGGGAGGAGGATAGTCGGGTCAGGTTAAGGTTTTTCTCTTCTGGTTATCTAGATCTCTGGCTCCCTCAAGTCATTGGTGTCTTATTTCATCAAACAGCATCAGACAAGCATATTTGTGATTTTATTAAAACACATAGGGTGTGTCCATATATGAAAAAATTGGTCCAAATGAACAGACGAGTTTCGGTCAACCAATATTACTTTTTTTGTCGGGGACAGCCCTACATTTAACCCTCTGTCCATCCGTGCGTATCAGACGAGGGGGAGAGAAACAGGGTGGTGAATTTATGAGGAGGACTAAAATATTCATCACGGCAGCGACACATTCCAGAGCACGGAAAAATATGTTGGTTACTTGAATGTAGAGAGCAGACGGAGAGAGAGGAGGGAGAGAGAAATAGAGTGACAGAAAGAGAGGGAGAGAAGAAGTGAGGGAGGGAGAGAGAAATGGAAATGGAAGAGGAGAGAAGAAACTTACTATAGTAACTCTCTCTTTTCCTCTCTCTATCTCTTCAAATGTATTTCTTCCTATTTGTAATTTTCTGCCTGGTCGCGTCTAACGCGCTGCTTTGTTTGTCGCCCTGTCGGTGGCACGTTGATTTATGCATATTTGATTTGTAAATGTCACTCATTACATTTCCCCCGACTCTCTCAAATGTCTCTCATCTCATTCGCATAAACAAATACAGCAGCATTTTGTTAGTCAGTCGGCTTCTTTCAACCAATAACAACCAACAAGGGCCTCCCTTTGATAAAGGTCTTGGTCTGTATTCATAAAGTGTCTCAGAGTACAAATGCTGATCCAGGATCAGGTCCCCCCTCTCCATTTAAGTGGTTTCCTTACAATCTAAAAGGCTAGACTGATCCTAGATCAGCACAGCTATTTTTGAGATGTTTTATGAATAAATAAAGAATGAATGACAATGGCGAGGAGGGAGAGGATGTGGGTTTCATTCCTAAACACGCAGGTTGACATTTATTGTCATGAGTCTTGTCCTGGAGGCAGAACTGAGCGATTTCCCCCTAGATAGGCCAGCTGCAAAGTCAAAATTGGCTATATTATAAGAATTCATGAAAACAAAAATGAGCTTTTTGGTCTTAATTTAAGGTCAGGTTTAGGCATTGGGGTTAGCAGTGTGGTTAAGGTTAAGTTTAAAATCAAATTGTATAACTTTGTGGTTGTGCTAACTAGTGATCAGGTGCCTCCAGAATTAGATTAATGATGAAAAACACTCTTTCTCTCTCACAACCACACACACTCTGGTACTATGCCCAGAACACTTGCCGACCTTTGACAGATGGGGAGGGAGCCATAAGGTGTATATGAGGAAAGAACAACACTGAAGGACAGAGAGAGACAGAGGGACAGAGAGAGTGACAGAGAGAGAGAGAGAGAGAGAGAGAGAGAGAGAGGAAGAGGAGAGATAGAGAGAGAGAGACGAGAGAGAGAGAGAGAGACTAGAGATAGAGAGAGTACAGAGAGAAAGAGAAGAGAGAGAGAAGAAGAGAGAAGAGAAGAGAGACAGAGAAGAGGGAGAGAGACAGAGAGAAGAGAGAGAGAGAAGAGAGAGAGAGAAAGAGAGACAGCAGAGACAGAAGAAGAAGAGCAGAAGAGAGAGAAGAGACGAGAGAAGGAGAGATAGAACAGAGAAGAAGAGAGAAGAGAGAGTACAGAAAGAGAGTGCAGTAGGATAGAGAGAGAGAGATATAGACAGAATAAGTACAGAGAGAGACGAGCCTCAAGACTAAGAGATAGCTCAGAGATTTATAGAGAGTAGCTAGAGAGAGACAGAGAAATAAAGACAAGAGAATCATGAAAGAGAGAAGATATCGATCTATGATAAGATATAGATCATAGATACATACACTAAGCAATAGCTATCCGACTATCATCTAGCATCTATATCAGCACCATAGATGTCTCGTTACTCTATGATCTGCTACTTCATCAACACACAAACACCTGTTTTTGAGCAAGTGACCCGCTATCATTCCCCCCTTTTTTGATCTCAGCTACTGACTTGGTGTGCCATGGCCACCGGAACTAATAGAAATGGCAGTTAAGAGCGAATGATAAATGACAGTGTGTGTGTGTGTGTGCGCGCATGCGAAAGAAAGTGTGTGCGTGCATGTCACAGTGACGATGATGGATTCTCTCTCAGGGCATGTGGCCGGTGGCTCCTTGGCAGATGCCGTGGCAGGCAAGGTCTCCCAGTCCACGTCACGGCCAACATCGCCTCTCACACACATAACATACAAACCAAACACATTCAAAAAATGTAAAACAAATACACACCAATAAACACTTCAAAAGCTTCTATCGACTCTCCACAGACCTCTCCCTTCCTCCCCCTTATCCTCTCTCTTCATCCCTTCTCTCCATCCCCACAGGCCTTTCCTCTTCAGTTCCTCTCAACCACAAACATAACATGCTAGCCTAGCCAGCACACCCCATGTCTTACAGATGGGAGCGCTAATCCGCATTATTTACTCTCCGAGGCGTAAAGGCAAGTCCATGTTGCTGCTTCGCCAGAGAGCCAGAGCCGGGGCTAGCACTTCCATGCTAACGCTACAGCTCTAATATTACACCGCTATGGTTGGAGAAAAGAGATAAGACATGATGTCAATGCTACCATACTAACGCTACAGCGCTAACACTCAACGGCTGCGGTTGGAGAAGAGATAAAACCAAGGGGTGTGTGTGTAATTGGATTGAGGTTGACTAATTACCATTGTCGGTAAATAAGGCCGACCTTGTGTGTGTGTGTGTGTGTGTGTGTGTGTGTGTGTGTGTGTTTCAGACTGAATCAGATGGATTATGCTTAAGAGTAAAGCATGACTGTCAGTCACTTGGGAGGACAGTGGATTTGCATTCATAAAACATTTACGATAAGACTGCGTACAAGAGATGTGTTTAGAGAGAGGGGGTGTGTGTGTGCGCGTGTGTTTAGAGAGAGCGTGTGTGTGATATTACTGTATATGATATGCAGGAGAGAAGAAGAAAATGGAGCATGCTGTGCAAGCGTATGTATGTTGATATGTGTATGGGGTGTTTTAGTGTGTGCGTATGTGCACACTGTGTATGTGTGTCAACACACCAGTTGACAAACAGTAGCAGTCCCCACTTGGTATTCCACTGTACGAGCGGCTGAGAAGACGGGAGACGCGTGATTGATATTAGCTTTTATGCTAATGTAGCATTTTGATATGTAGAACAAGGCCCCATTTACATATTCCTTCATTCAGCCATCCTATGGAAAGGAAACAGAAACACTGCCTGCCGCTCTGTATACAAGCAGTGTTGTCACAGTGCCAAAAGCTCCCAGTGAGACAATAAACAAAAGGAGACACAAAGGAGCTCAACAGCAAGGATGAAAATGCACAAGTGTGTGTGTGTGTGTGTGTGCGTGTGTGTGTGCTTACACACACCTGAGTATGTGCTTGTGTACCAGGTTTGTGTCACTAAGACCTAATAGCAAGACATAAGCTCAGCAAGTCTTCTTTAACAGGTTCAGCATTCAGTTCCACATTACATTTACATTTTAGTCATTTAGCAGACGCTCTTATCCAGAGCGACTTACAGTTATAGTGAATACATATTTTTTTTCTAATTTTTTTTCTTTTTTTTATACTGGCCCCCCGTGGGAATCGAACCCACAACTCTGGCGTTGCAAACGCCATGCTCTATCAACTGAGCTACATCCCTGCCGGCCATTACCTCCCCTACCCTGGACGACGCTGGGCCAATTGTGCGCCGCCCATGAGTCTCCCGGTCGCGGCCGGCTGCGACAGAGCCTGGATTCGAACCAGGATCTCTAGTGGCACAGTTAGCACTGCGATGCAGTGCCTTAGACCACTGCGCCACGCCATCCCCTATAGTCAGTTAAAGAATGTAGGAAGAAAAACAAGGTCGGACTCAGAGAAGTGTGTGTAGAAAGGGGGATAGGAAAGTGTGACACTCACCTCGGACATGTTGACGAGGCCCTCCTGGAAGGAGCAGTCGTTGGCGTTCTGGGTGCACATGTGACGGTACTTACACCAGTGGCAAGGGAACGAGCCGTTCACACACGATAGGCACCTGGGGTGAGGACGGGGAGACGGATATTGTTAGGAAACACAGAACACAGGCTTGGCACATGCAGCGTAAGAATCAAAGTAACCTCTCTCTTTCTCTGTTTACTCTCTTAATCTCTCTCCAGCCATTCAAATGCTCTCTAGCTTTACCTCTCTCTACTCTCTTCCTCTTTTTAACTCTCACTGTCCATCCATGTCTGTTCACTGTTCTCCCCTCTCTCTATCCGCATTCAGTCTTTCTCTTCCCTGTCTCCGTCTTTCTCTATACTGTTCTATAGCCTCTCCCTATCAACTTACCTTCTCTCACTCCATTTGTTATCTTTACCTCAATTCTCTTTCTCTCCCTCTCCATTGACAGTATTCACCACCTCTATCCATCTCATGGTGTTTCATTCTACCCGTGGCTTTTAAACCTTCCCTCGCTTTTTGTCCAAAGCCCCTTTCATCCTCCAGCTAAGAGCGCTTGCTATTTAAATGCACCCACTTTGGCCTTGGCGCCCAGGTGGCGAGTGATGAGCAGAGCGAGAGAAAAGAGATCAAAAGCAGGTGGATCTCCCTGAGAGAGAGGGAGAGATGCCAGGTATCGTGGGAGAGATGGAAAACGACGGAGAGCTAGGGAGAGAGAAAGAGGGAGGAGTGGGGTGTAGCCAAGGGCTTGGTATAGAAGTCTCGTGGGATAGAGGTATCGAAGGGGGGGGGGATGGGGGGGTCTGGGTCTGTGTGAGCGTGTGTGTTGGGGGGGGGGGGGGGGTTATTAGAAGAATGGCGCCGGAGGAGATGGCTACCGTTTTACGGGCTCCTAACCAATTGTTCTATTGTGTGTGTTTTTTCGCGTTATTTGTAGCTTATTTTGTACATAATGTTTCTGCCACCGTCTCTTATGACCAAAATGAGCTTCTGGATATCAGGACAGCGATTACTCACCTCGTATTGGACGAAGCTTATTTCTTTAACGAGCCGGACGCAAAGGATTTCCTTTAGACACCCGACAAGGCCCAAATCCCTGTCATTCGCATGAGAAAGAGATATCGGGGACATAGGTCGAAGTACCTTGTAAGGATCCAACGGCGAGTGGGTAATCTGCATCTACCATCAGTCCTATACCATCACTCATCAATTCAATCATCAACTCAAATGATCATCTAACAAATTATTGTGTTTTAGATTGTGTAAAAAAACACATAAAATGCATCCAAAGCAGATAAACTATTTAAAACCAGACTGAAATCCGCTCACTGTCTCCTCATCCGACATGATCTGTGGGGACCTAACTCACAAATGTAGCTCAATCAATACCTGAACGCTCACAACACGCACCAAAGTACGCTTCTCTGTGTAAAACGGAATTTCCGATTCTACGGCCGGCATTAGTAACAGGGCTTTAACTCAAAGCTCTTAAAGTCGGACACAATCTGAATCCATCAAACGTTACCCAGATTATTTTGGCCCCCCTCTTCATAAGGATCAGACGACAAGGCTTTAATTCAATCCCAAAGTGCCTTTAATTGACCAATTTAGCATTGTGCTGAGAGAGCCTGTCCATTTAAAATAAGCAATGGAAATCACAAGCCTCTTAATCCGACATCAGAGTAGCAAGGAGATTCATCAATGTAAAAACAAATGGGAGCAGGCTAGGTCAGGCTAGCTAGCCAAGCGTTTTGTTTACTACTACATTTATGTAAGGAAATAATAATAGGCCTCATTTTCCAGCAGTAAACTAGGGGGAGATTCATCAATGTAGTAACAAATGGAAAGAGGGTTGATTATGCTAAGCTAGGCTAGGTTAGCCACTTGGCTGAAATGTAAGCTTAGTTAAGGGCTAGTTAGCCTAGCGGTTGGTTTGCTATGTTTTCAGCATTTGTTTAACCTGGACAAAGTACACTTTATATTACATAAGCATGCTATTTCTGACAAAAGGAGGGCACCATTTTAGCACATTATGATTTGCCATCAAGCGGGGACTGGCGCGAGGTCTCCACAAAGTACAGGTTGAAGGTCAATTCCCCAAACTGGTTAAATGTAGACTAGGCATCTACCAGACAAAGATCCTTTTATTTCTTCCCTTCATTTATTCATTATGGAAAATGAGCGTCCTGTTTGCACACTTAAGACTTTGGTATAACGAGCAGGAACGCAGCATGCAACGACCCCCTACTATCTACCTCTTCTTTACCTCCCAAAGGAAGAATGAGTTCAATACCTCAATAACCGTTACATAGCTTAATAGGAAAGGGGGTACCTATCTTTCTACCCACCCAAGGCCATTGAGACCCCATGTGGGGACCCCCGACCACTCCTCCATTGGCCTGGAAGTAGGCCTCTCAATGCACACCCCCAGTAACTCGCTAGTCGCTACCCCCTGCTAGCGTCCATCCTAAGCCTTTGAATTTGGGGGATACCCACCCAAAGCCATTTGAGGATACCCAACCTCCCCTAATCTTCTCTCTGGAGGTGGGCCTCTATCCATTGACCCCTTGTAGTTTCCCTGCACCCTGTGACCATCCAACCATCAATGGAGAAGCCACGCTCCCAAGCAGCCACGCTTATGATGCTAATGCTAATTTAATCCATTCATATTGAAATGTTAATCAAGCTACGTCAACCTTACCGCTGCAGTGGCATTAGCCCCTCCCCCCCCAACACAATAGGTTGTGATTTCTCTCTAGCTTTGGTTTGATTCTTTTATAAAGGCTTTTGTAACCTTTATCAGCCTGAAGTGTACTGTATTTGGCATCATGTACTTGATCAAATTACTTATTCGAAAGGTGCCTTTTATTTCAAATGAATAGTGCTTAATGGTGTAAATAGCCGGCAGGTTAATTGATAGGTTAAAAACGATCTTCACTGCTCTCTTCACTAAAGCATTTACTGAATACCTGGCTTTGGACCAAACTTTGTATAAGGGGATGTAAGTGCAATTGCATATCGTGCATGAGTGCATGTGCCCCAATGTTACGGTCAGGTGGGTACAAAGTAGTTTGCACCTTGACAAATGGAAAAGTCTAGTTCATATTGTCACACACTCAAAAAGTAAAGACCTCTACCTCTTTTTGTCTCTGTCTACCTCCATTTCCATTCCAAACCTTTTCTCTCCATGCATCTCTGGAAGACAGAGTATGACACGGTTTCCTGCGGAGTCTATATACCGAATTAGACCGCAAGGACCCTAAATCACACAATAGATGACCCAGTCAGTACCTGAACAAAATTAACTAGAGGAAAAAGGTGCTTATAGGTCTTCATTCTTTCCCATAGAGACATCAAACCCTACTTTATTGCCACACTATCCACCTTAGTCCTAATAAATCACAAATGGGAGGAATATTTTTTTTAAAAATGGAAATATTGAATTAAGAAGTAATCATGGCCGCGGGTGGTTTTCTATTTCAATTTCTCCACCCTTAACTGAAACAGTGGGATTTCTAATTAGATTAATATTGCTATGCAAATGTATGGAATTTTTTAAAAGTGCGGGACCAAGACATAATCAGTAGAATAAATAAGAAGGGGGGAGGGTGGGTGGTGTGTGCATGGTGGGTACGGGTGGGGGTAGATACTGTATCCATATGGGATACTATATCCGTATGTATCTATGTCTTTCAACATTGAGCGAGCATATCCCTTAGCGACAGCGATTGTAATTCCAGTATGCATGTAAACGTCTATGATGGAAAAGCAAGAAAGGATTCCAGGGCTGAAATAATGACAACTGCTTTTGAAGCTCTTTTTGGAGGTTGGGTCTATGTGTGTGTGTTCTGTGCATGAATTGTGTGTGTGCACGTGCGTCTGAGTGCCTATAAATATATATATATAAGTGTAAAGCACTATGTGTGTCTCTCCCCATTACAGTATAACTCATCTCAGTAAACAATGATCATGCAGTCATGAAATAGTGAGAGCATCTTCTGCGAGTCGTGCTGAGTCATTACGGAAATGACATTACCAGTCTGATCTCATCATCAGACGCCGAGCACAGATGTCCATAGCAAAGTGGTTCGGCGGCACGAGTGCCAGCCAAATGGGATATACTCAGCATCTTTCCTCGTCAACTCCGTATCATTACAAAAATGACCACTCCGTAACCAAAATCCTATATTAGATTTACCAAGCAATGGGATTTACTCGGCAATCAGCATTGATCACTGTCATCTGCATAGACATGTATCATCTCTAATATTGTAGACAACTCCGTTACACAAGTCCTTTATCATATTTGTGGGTTTATTGCGGTTAATATTGCGACTATAAACCCCAGTATTGCAGTAGCATTAACAATTGAAGAGGTTTATTTAGAGTCCCTAGCTGGGAATCGAACCCACAAGCTTGACATTGTTAACACCACACCCTCACCCAACTGAGCTAACCAGCGGGGTCCTATTCTCCAAGGAGGCTCGTCTGACTCGTATGGGGAACTTTGGGCTTTGAGGAACCTATGGGGCCCCCTAGCCATCTGCTGCCCTGCGGCTAATACCCCAATCCGAGGGGCGGGGGTCTAGTCCACCCTAACACACCAGGATAAGTGTATCTGGCCTGGGGAGAATCTCCCCCAGAGGTCCTGCCTGGCTGGTTGTGGTTAAGATCTTTACTAAGCTGGTCCCTCCAGAGTCATGGCTAAAGACTGGGTTGCGGAAATAGAGGTTGTTTTTGAAGTAACCTAAACACTAACCAAGACACAACGCTTACTTCACTGGGCAGATTTTGATATGTATCGACCTTTGAATATGTATTACCCGGGTAATGAGAAACTTTTTAGACAGAGCGCGTTTGGGAACCAATACCAGAGACTGTCAATTGCAATTCATTACTTATAATGATATTATTATCAGCTACTGTGCGTTATGATCATAAGGGTAGATTTACCATCTTGAATCTCGATATCTCGTCATATATGGAGGGTTCGATTTCCACTCAGTGGTGGTAACATGATCCACCTATGTGCATGGAGGTCACAGGGGGGTGGGGTTGAGTGCGTGTGTACGGGCTCCCAGGCTTACTGCGTCCTCTCAGGGGCAGTGTAACACAAGAGGACCAGAGGGAAAACAGAACGGAAGAAGAGAAAGAAAAAGAGGAGGAGAAAAGGGAGAAAGCAGAGAAAAAACCGGAACGTTAAACACACGACGCACAAAGAACGTGAGAGAACTTACGACGCGTGCACACTGCAGTTGTAGAAGATGAAGTCCACGCTGGCGAACATCTTGCCCGTCTCCTTGGACTTGAGGTAGAGCTTCACCACGCGTTTGTCCCCTACAGAGACATGCACGTCGCTTAGCAACACACCATTTATGTTATGCATTGTAGACCCTGTAAGTGGGGTAGAAATAGCTCCTAGAGACACAGGGACCATTAGATTGCTGATAAGAAATCTGCTTTAGGAACTATTAAGTCTAAACGTGTCAATTTCTGGGGAATCTAAATATACGGCGCCGTCATCTCGGGGCTTTGAAGAGGCGTAACAGGCAACAGTGGTGTCATTGTGGCGTGATTACATTAGAACTGATAACGATGCATAATGCAAGGTAATGGGACCCACTTCTGAACACTCTTTGGAGAGGACAAATATTAAATTGTCTTTGGTGCTTTGGGGAGCAATTAGGGGGCAAACACTGGTAGTGACAGAAAAACTCAGAAAGTATTGTCGAGTTATCCAAATAAAGCCATGAAATGTGCAATTCTGTTCAAGGCGAAACTATCAAGAAGATGAGGAAGACTGTAAGGCAATAAGGGCAGGGCATTGTAATGGCTGGAATGAAATGACTGGAACGGTATTAAACACATTGACACTGCTCCATTCCTTCCATCTCAGCCATTACTCCCTTCACCAGCCTCCACTGACTGACATGCGGCCACAGTCTTTTTTGGGGCCCGTGACATCCTTATTGGCGCCACAGCCTTTTCCTTTGCAGATTCTGTGAAATCATGACATCATCACCTGAGGAGGCGGGGTCCAGACGGCGTTCTCACCTTTGTTGCGGGTGATGGGGATGACGTCACGGGCTGAGGGGGACAGGCAGTAGATGCGACCCCCCTGGATGCGCCCCTCCGTCTCCACGTAGCCCTCGAAGGAGCAGTTGACCCCCGCAGAGAGGTCGGGGACGTTACGCGTCTCCAGCACCAGCTGGAGACAAATCAATGCAATATAGGGAATACATTATTAACACAGTTAAAGTGGTGGACATGTAATATATGCCACATAACGCCAAGGGTTAATGTGAGGACCTGCTGACCTAAATGGGCTCGGTTCCAATATCCTAGCTTAGCACTAGCATACAGCTTAGAATGAAGTGTTGGTGCTAGTGTGTTAGTGTAGGTATTGGAACATAGCCCTGCAATAAATGTATTATTAACATGGTTAACATGGGGACAACAACACAGCATGTAAATGTGAGGACCAGCTGACCTAAATGGGCTCTGTTCCAATATTCCACAATAGCGTACCATGCATTAAGTGCATGCTAAGTGGTGGGCTAGTGTGGATATTTGGAATGTAGCCTTGGAACAAATTGAGGACCAAGGTAAGTGTGGGGAACATGTTAAGGTCTTCAATGAGACAAGCACTTAGTTAGAGACTTATTGGAACATTTACACACTGTCACTTTTGCGGTACACTAACAGAGTCCGACAAGTAGACACACACACCTGCACTTCGGACATGGTGACGGAGATGTTTTTGGGCTGGATGCTGAGCTCCACACACTGACGCTGGTCAGAGGCAAACCGCTGGGGCTCATCTGCACGCTCACACCTGTCCTTACGGGAACACCTAGAGGAGAGGAGAGGACAGAGTCAGAAATACACACACATACTTCACACACACCTGCATTTGGTGCATGAACAGTGTTGACGATGACACGCCATACACACACACGTCAGAAACATCCTCCATATGATCAGCCATCTGCAAAACCAGACAACCGGTGCACTAATGTCTCCATTTGCATCACCAGCTATCATACCACCTCTCCATAACAAAACAAGCCTCAGCGGTAATAAAAATGTGCTGAACTGACACTTTCAGTGGCTCGGCGCTCAACAATAAAAGGAGGGAAAAATGCAAAGCGCCTCATCTTAGCTTTGATTTACCAACCTTCCCACTCAACAGAATACTGGCTCCCAACCACTCCCCACTGGATCACACACGCACATTTGTAGGCACATACAAACACACGTCTATGCACACATACACACATGGGGATATTACTTGCGGACCACATTACTCATTAGACCCTAAAGGAAAACTCCTGGAGAGTTAAACAGGTATGGGCCTTCTCTCAACCCCCTTCTTGAGAGGAGTGAGAATGAGGAGAGAGTGTGTGTGTGTGTGTGCCCGTGTGTGTGTGCCCGTGTGTGCGTGTGTCCATGCTAGCGTATAAGCTTTTAGCGTGTGTGTCTCAGTTAATATAACTCTAGCGTTGCTGCTAGGACCGCTCTCCTACCACATCGAGCGCCGCACGGCTGACGAACCAGACACATTTTACTCTAATAAGCTAATGCCACAGGGCAAAAACACAGAGCTTAAATACATGCCATTCTGAACATCAGTGGGCTAAAAATAGAGCGAGGGACGCTATCGAACGGGAAATGAGCGGAGTGAGCGGAGTGCTCCGTTTCGGCGAGGGAAGGTCAAAAGCTTTGTGACTGGAGGTCAGCAACGCCTTGAGTTGATCTTGATTGCATTTCCGACGCCTTGCCGGCCTCGTACGCGTCTTCATTTAAAATTAGAATCCCCTCTAATGCAAATACACACACACACACACACACAGAATCCCACCGCATGCTCATGCAAAGGCACGCACTGACACACACACGCACGCACACCTGCCGGTCAGATGACGTGTTGTTGTTGTCGCTGCGCAGGTGGACGTTTTAATGAAGGGAGTGAACAGTAAGAACTGGAGGTACAGTATTGTGTGAGGCCTTGTGTATCACCTTTCACTGAGCCCAAATTGTATACATTCACACACACACACACACACACACGCAAACACACGCAAACCAGCACACACATCCCATAAACACACACCCTGAAGTCATGTTAGCCAGCAGGAGAGAGAGAGCACCACACTGTGTCACCAGGTGTATCTTATATAGATTTGTGTCTGGTGAGAAGTCACACACTAACTATGCACACCTAACACAAATGCACGCACGAAAGCATGAATGTACACACAATGTATAAAAACCCTGGATTGCTGATGCTATGTATTGGCCATTGAGGGGCTTTGAAGCCGCCGGTCGGCCATATTGGCACTCCCCAGTAGAAGCAGTCATCCATAGAAATGGATGGAATTCTACAGTATTTCAACTAAAATGTTTTAAGGACAAAATTGCATGTATTTAAGTATTTTTGTTGTTGAAGTGGGGACAGTAACAGTAGTAATTTTTCCATTATAATTTTTTTAATGTTTAGCTCACATAATATAAATTAAAAGTATGCAATAAGGTTTCTGTAAAAGAATAAATGTGGCAAAACGAATGTAGAGTGCCAAGATGGATGCACAGTGGCTTCAGTTTGGGGAAGGCCTTTTCCTGTTGGAGCATGACAATGCTCCCGTGCACAAAGTGAGGTCCATACAGAAATGGTTTGTCGAGATCGGTGTGGAATAACTTGACTGGCCTGCACAGAGCCCTGACCTCAACCCTATCTAACACCTTTGGGATTAATTGGAATGCCGACTGTGAGCCAGGCCTAATCGCCCAAAACCAGTGCCTCAGTAATGCTCTTGTGGCTGAATGGAAGCAAGTCCCCGCAGCAATGTTCCAACATCTAGCGGAAAGCCTTCCCAGAAGAGTGGAGGCTGTTATAGCAGCAAAGGTGGGACCAACTCCATATTACTATATATATATATATATATATATATATATATATATATATACATATACACTACATGACCAATAGTATGTGGACACCTGCTCGTCGAACATCTCATTCCAATATCATGGGCATTAATATGGAGTTTGTCCCCCCTTTGCTGCCATGTAATGTATATATATGGGGGCTGCGGGGATGCATGTTAAGCCACTTCTTATAATTATAAGTTAAGTATATCTAAGATGTGTCAGGGCTCCAGCTATGCATTTGGTTTTCTAATTTGCTAGCTAAGTGGCTATGCCGGTGTAATATGGTCACTGCAACAGCCCTAGTGTAAACAAGGACACCTGACATGCTCTGCACTGTTATCTGCTACTAACAGGTTGATTAATTTATCTACAGATCATATAAACGATGGAAGAGACTATCAACACATACAGTATTCTGGCAAAAAGCTTTCATGCTAACGGAGCTAGCATAAGGCTAACACAGAGCCTGAGTCCCGATACTAAGGAGAGTAGCTTACTTGCCTCATCTCTTGCCCTCAATGCATCGTCTCAGCCGTAGGTGATAGCGATGGAACGATTAAAAAAAGAAAAAAAGGTGATGGCAACTCCCCAAAAAAGACTGCAACAACAAACGCTATCTTCTTTTTGGGAGACGCCATCCCCTTTTCTTTTCTAGAATAATACTTCACCCAGATGAGCACCCCATTCCATAGAAGCCTTAAGTAGCACCGACATACAGTCTCTAAATTATCTCTTGAGATTTGTTTTTGCTCTGTCTAATTCACATAAGCTGAAAGAAAAATAGATTATGACTTTGCTTAACTCGAGTATGTACTTACACATTGTGAAGGACACACCAGCCACAGTGGGGGTCTTTGGAGCCCAGGCACTGGCCACAGGTGGTGTACTGCTCACAGCTCTCCACTGGTACCCTGCTCACCTACACACAGAGAGACAGAGAGGAGAGAGTAGAGAGACTAGAGAAGAACGAGAGAGAGACAGAGAGAGAGAGACGAGAGAGAGAGAGATGAGAGAGAGAGAGAGGAGAGAGAGGCGAGAGAGGAGACGAGAGAGAGGAGAGGAGAGGAGAGGAGGAGAGAGGAGAGAGAGAGCAGAGAGAGAGAGAGGAGAGAGAGAGAGAGAGAGAGAGAGAGGAGAGAGAGAGAAGAGAGAGAGAAGAGAGAGAGAGAGAGACGAGAGGAGAGAGAGAGAGAGAGAGAGAGAGAGAGAGAGAGAGAGAGAGAGAGAGAAAGATAGGGGGGGAATGAGAGCGAGAGAGAATGCTGTTAGCATTCCAAATCAGATTAAAGCAATGCAGTGCACACCATGCTAGTAGGATGACACACACAGATATGTATCCACACATAAGGACTCAAAAATGACTTTTAATTTGATTTAAGAATGCCAGAGGCTGGAAGCGCGTGTGTGTTTCTTCTTTCCACTGTAACGGGTTGTTGAAGCAGCGTGTGTGTTCTAGTGTGTAGTTCATGTCTAGCGACGTGTACACCAGTTTAGGGAGCGGGCACGCAATGTACGCTGGGCAGACTGACAGGTGGCCGTGGCAACTGTGCTTTGATTGACAGGCGACCTCCGAAACCCAATAGCAGACGGATGTACTCACAGTATGACGGAGTGTGTGTGTGTGTGCGCACATGTGTCTGACAGCAAATGAGTGTGAAAGCAAGCGTGTGTGTGCAGGACTGCCTAACAGTGAGCGACAGTATGTGGGTGTGAGTGAGTGCGTACGACTGTGCGCACGCATGTATGTGTGTGTATGTGGAACTACTTCACAGCGATTAGAGAGGTAACAGCCTGATGATGCATGCTCCACAGGATCAGTCAGTAAGTCAACCCTCTACTCCAGTATAGGTTGATGACAGATGGCTAGCTATAGAGGAATCGTCCCCCCGTGTGTGTGTGTGTGACTGATATGGTGGGTACGTATTATATTTCTACTGTGGGGTACCTTACAATCATGTGGTGGGAAACGGATCCCTCTAAAACGGTAAGTAAGACCACTAAAGACCTTCCCCCAGGGGCCGTCATTGGAGCAGAGTGAGAGAAACACATAGGCATGGAGACACACCTGGGCAGTCAGCGACACATTCTCTGTCTGTCTCTCAAATACACACAGAGACCAGCTGGGAGAGACCAGCTGGAGGCGAGCCAAGTGGAGGCTCACTTTACAACAAGAGAGGAGGAGAGGGCGGAAGCTAGAAAAGAGGAGGGAGAATATATGGTAATAAGGCTTCATGAGGCTAAGAGGTAAGGATATCTGCTGTATATTCTAGCCTGAAGGATGGTCATCTTAGGATCCCTTTTCATAAGCATCCAGTGAGGAGTTGGCCGGCTGCCCGGACGGGACGCAGCGAGAAATGAAGTGGTGCTGAAGAATGGCACAAAGAGGAAGAGGCTTCTAGCAGCGGATAGGCTCTATGATATAAGACCCCTCTCGCATGTGGCATCCTCTGTTTTAACGAGTTGGGAGGAGTGCGTGTGTGTGTATATGCGTGTGTGTGTATATGCGTGTGTGTGTATATGCATGTGTGTATATGCGTGTGTGTGTATGTGTGTGTGTGTATATGCATCTGCCTCTTTTAATAAAAGAGCATTCCCGTAGGCTCTTTTACATTAATCACGTAAATGACCTTATAAACGAATTTACAATTGAAACCAAAGCTGTAACTCAATCCCAGTTTCAGTCTCCTTCCTTTTGTCATGCTCGGCACTGGCCCCAACTATTTATAGATGACAACAGATCTCCTGCTATAAAGTTTCCACCCTTCTTCTCCAATCTGTTTTTACAGTATCCGTATATGCCATCACCTTCAGTTAAAACGCAGTGCTAACAGGCTTTGTGATGGCCGCCTGATGGCCCAAAGGCCCCCGTAAAGCTTTCAATACACGCTTTCATTTACCGTAAAAAAGAGAGGGAGCGAGGG